AACGATCGCCTCAAAATGCCAACGACTAGCGCTTATCCATCTGCACCACTGGAGCTGATGATTCATAACCACTTTTAACTAAATCTAAATAGACACTCCGTATTTTTTGATTGACAGATGTCTCGTCCAGTCAGGGGTGAGTAATCCCAAACCAATGGCGCTGTCTCAAACTATACCTACCTTTTCCGGTTTGTCTGAATTGACGTTGTGTTTTCTGACTTGTTAATTTGGTTTCGGATTTGTCGTTGTGCTTTCTGACTTGTTATTTTGTTTTCGAATTTGTCATTGTGTTTTCTGACTTGTTATAATGTTTTCTGAATTGTTGTTGTGCTTTCTGAATTGTTATTTTGTTTTGTAGACTTGCATTTGCGTTTGTAATTTGTTATTTTGTTTTCAGAATTGTGATTTGTTCTGCACCTCTCGGCCACCGTAGAGTAGAGCTGAAGTGTGTAATCTTTATGCCACTAGTGTCACTGAATAGAATTGCAAGAATAATGACTGTTTCAAACAAGTTTCCCCCTTTGTCTTCCATTGTCAAACAAACAAACAAACAGTTATGACCCAAACTCACACTCATTGCTGACTGGCTTGTCTGGCTAGTCGGTGGTTTTGATAGCTTCACAGCATTTATAAACATTCAGTAGCTTACTTGTAGTTTGCGTAAGCTGTGTCTGCATAAGCTGTGATAGAATAAAGTATTTTGACACTGAAAAAGTACACACTTCAGCATTAAGATGATTCACATGCATGGCCCTTTTTTTAACCATATCCTTTTCTATCTGCTGACTGCTTCTCAAAGGATCACTGAGAAAGAAATAAGATTTTTCTCCCATTAAAGATGATTTTAAAATTTCCTTAAAATTCAATTATTCAGAATTTGAGCAAGTTTATCCAGCAGTGGATATCTATGGCCATGTTTAAATGGAACACAGCTTTTACAATTGGAGATGATTTTTTCCCCCCACAAATTAATTGTGCTTAATTTTTTTCCAACCACAAAAATGAACGGTCACATGTCAAATCAAACACCTACTTCAGTGAACATACAAGACAGTAAAACAAAGACACAACATTATATAGCTCAGATAGGTTTGTGTACTGGTGATGTACAAAAAAATAATGATACAAATACTATTGACATGCATTGGCTGCAGTGTTGTGAAGTACCAATGTAACATGCATTATCATTTTTGTCATGGGCTTCAATAAAACTATTTAATTCCTATTTACATTGTCCTTCATAGTCGGTAAGTCAAAGGCATTCATTTCTGTTTGCTTAAAGGTGCACTCCATTTTTTTTGTTTTTTTTTTAAATAAATGTTATATTCTTAAAACATTTTACACATAAAGTAATAACTCAAAAAATGATGTACTGTATGCTCTGATAAAAGTTGTGGAGTGGAGTGGGTTGCCTAATGGGGCAGACATGTCGAGATCACATGACCAGACAAATACTAGTTGATTTAGGCTGTTATCATATCATTAGCTCATGAAATAATTTAATCAAAACTGACCACAAACAGCACATTTCTACAAGAAGCATTGTTAAGTGAATAAGCTTGCTTAAATGAATAGTTAACCCAAAAATGAAAAAGAAAAAAAATGCTTAATTTACTGACCCTCAGGGCATCCAAAATGTAGATGAGTTTATTAATTAATCAAAACAGATTTGGAGAAGTTTAGCATTATATCACTTATCCATCCATCACCAATGGATCCTATGCAGTGAATGGGTGCCGTCAGAATGACAGTCCAAACAGCTAATTTAGAACTCAATAATCCACAAGTCCATCAATTAACATCTTGTGAAGTGAAAAGCTATGTGTTTGTAAGAAACAAATCCATAATTAAGAAGTTATAACTTTAAACCATTGCTTCCAGCTAAAATACAAGTCCTCTATCCATAATATTGCTTTCTTGAAAAAGTTGTCTCCTCTGAATCAGGAGAGAAATATGCACAAATCAAGTAAAAACAGTCCAAAACAGGCAGTGGATTTTGATGTGAGAGGACAACAGGGGATGGACTTTTTAACTGAACGAAGCTCTATTATGGATTATTGTATTTTGGCCAGAAGCAACAGTTAAAAATGCCTTTTCACTTCACAAGACGTTAAATGATAGACTGGAGTCATGTTTTGGATTATCATGATGTTTTTATCAGCTGTTTGGAGTCTCATTATGATGGCATCCATTCACTGCAGAGGATCCATTGGTGAGCAAGTGATGTAATGCTAATACATTTTTCTAAATCTGTTCTGGTGAAAAAACACACTCAAATAAATCTCGGATGGCTTGAGGGTGAGTACATTTTCAGCAAATGTTCATTTCTGGGTGAACTGTTCCTTTAAATTTCATAATTCTGCACTCCAGACCCCTGGGTGTCAGCATATGTTTAAAATGACCAATGCAACATAAAAAAAATAATTAAAAAAAACCTTTACTGAGTGCACCTTTAATATCTTCGTGTTCTGGCTTTATAAAACCATACATTTTCACCTTATGTATTTGTCTTTACAATAGCTATCTCTTAATTAACAAGTTCTCTAACAAATAAATAGATTGTGATTAAATAAATACTTGAATAAACAGAGCTGTAAGCATTTTGTAACCAGTTGCTTGCCACTAAATTGATATGATGTAATTACGACATTCTGGTCTCTGCTTGCATAAAAGTCTTTGTGGCAAGATCCAATTACCGATCATCTCAAATTTACTTCAATTCTACAATTAATCACATACACACTCCAGTTCCAAAGAGAATAAACACGTTCGCACGTGCACTCCACTGCCTGAATTAACAAAGACACGCAAATAAAACATTGATTTACATTCATTTGAACCTCCATTTTCTGTAACGAGTTCTTCCGTTCTGTCCTAAAAGCATGGCTTTGTAAATCCCTCATTTTACATGGCGTTGAAAGATGGCACTAACCTCTTGTGAAATCCTCCATCTCTCCTCCTCTATGCGTGCAGTGAATAATGTCATCAGCAGTGCAATATCTTTATGAAAGCCTTTCTGAACTCCACATTGAAAGTGGTATATATGATGGGGTTGACGGCACTGTTCACATATCCCAGCCAAGTGAAGGCATTGTACATTTCCAGTGGCACCACGCAGCTTGTGCAGTGAGTTTTCAAAATGTGAGTAATAAAAAAGGGCAGCCAGCAAATAATGAAAACACCTGCAACAGAGAAAATAAAGCTGAGGTATTCTGAGGACAAGACCTCAATTTAGGACTTTTATGTAACTCGTGCTCGGCATACGGCTGAGGAATACTTGTATAAAATTACAGCATCGTGACCTCACCTAGAACAATAGCCAGCATCTGAGTAGCCTTCTTTTCTTTATGCTGGGATATCTTCCTCTTGCTCATGGTTTTGGTCACTGTAGTTCGGGTTTTGCCATTGGGCAGTGCCTGCGTTTCAACAGGTTTGGCTTCTTTAGGGGTCTGGACCTCCTTGGCATGCCCATTTTTCTCATCTCCATTTGACTGACATTCACCGTGGGAGGGAGAGGCATGGATTGGGCTTGGGTTGGCCAGCAGGTCGACGACCAGAGTGGATGCCAGTTTCTTTTTCTCGGGAGGGCTGGTGCCTGCCACGATGTCCACTCCCACATCACCACCTTGGTGCAGGACCTCCCTTATCAGTTGCTGTTGAAGACATGTTTACCATTAGTTGTATGATTATACTATAAATGGCATGTACTAGTTTATTTTTAATTCTAGATTTGTTTTTTTTTTTTTGTATATATTTTTGTTAATATTTGCACAATATAAAATATATATGATAAAAAGCAAAGAAATATAATTCATGTACAATGCAGAGGGAAGCAGAAAAAGCTCTACATAAAAATAAATAAATAGCATACAAAAAATATATAAATGTATATTGCTGAATAATGAATAACAGCATAAAAAAACAAAGATAGTATAAACCAGAAACAAACATTATAACATACATGAAATACATTAACAACAAGAAATAAGGAAACAAGATTATAAGGCAGCAATAAAATGGTCTTTTAAGCATCTTTTTTAACATATTAAAGAAGAACACATGGTAACACTTTAGTTTAGGGACCAATTCTCACTAAAAACTAGTTGCTTATTAGCATGCATATTACTAGCACGCTGGGTGTTTATTAGTTTTTATAAAGCACATATTAATGCCTTATTCTGCATGACCATATTTTAGATCCCTTAACCCTACCCTATACCTAAACTTATCAACTACCTTACTAACTATTAATAAGCAGCAAATTAGGAGTGTGACCTGACTTTTTTACCAGATTTCATAAACCATTCCATAGTTTGATTTGCCTACATTTTATTCAGTATTGACCTTCACAATTGAGAAATTTAGGAAGGGTGAAAATCTGAAAATTGACAAGTTATATAAAAATTAACCTGTGAATTTGCTTTAAAATGTCTTAAATTGCTCTGAAATATTCCCTTCATTTGAATATTTTTTATAAATGAAAATATATATTTGACAGAAATAAATATCATGTTAATAAGAATAAGCATTTGAAGTTTCTGAAATAAAGGAACAGATGAAATATATGAATTTGATCGGGCTGCAACTTGCAATACTAACAGAACATTTCTGAAGGACAATTTTTTTAGTAGTAGGAAAAATGCTTGTCCAAACTAAATTTCAAATTGAAAGAAATATATAAATTAAACTATTATAAAAAGTTAGAAAACAATCTGTGGTAACAAGATGCCTAACTCTTCTCATTATACAGGTAGATGTATTTTACTGCTAACCCAAACCGTTTGTTTACTCCATCTCTCGTCAACAAAAACTCCCAAGAATTTTGTTGTTGACACTTAAGGCACTTCAACAGACTCAACTGTAATTTTAGATAAAGCCTTGGAATACTAGTAGTAGACCATCGTGGGAAAAAAGTACACAGTACGGTACACATCAAACAATATTGAAAATGATGTTACGTGTGAAAATAATAGGGCATTCAAGCTTATTTGCACTAACCTGACAGTTCCTGACAGCAGTAATCGGTGACCTTATGGCCTCTCATTAACTATTCCCATTTAAAGAAGTTGCTAAATCAATGCTTGTTTAACACAGGCAGACTGTCAGCACAGATGTATGACTCACAGTAATCCAACTATAATCCATCGGATGTGATATATGACTCACAGTAACCCAACTGTAATAAACATGCAGTTCGTGAAGAAGAATCCAAAGAGAAGAGATTTCCTGTTATATTTATTCACTTACATTTACTCACTTTTTATCCATTATAAATAGTTAAAAATGAACATGCTAAATATATTTAATACAATTATAAATGAAAAGAAAAAGAAAACATCAATGACACATTCACTTAATACACATGAAATAAATACTACCTTGACTCAAGTCCCTACTATTCTTTTTACATTCTCCATTACATTCCTAATGTCATGATGAATGATTTTTTAAATTGCAATTTTTAGGCCTTTCATTAATACTAATAGTGGATGTATATAGTGGTTAATAAGAGTGTTTAATAATAGGGTACTTTGCACAACCAGGGTTATCTTACTCATAGGTATTCAAACATAAAGTGCCAACATACACGTTAGTCAGGTCCCTAAAGGGACATGGTGATGGAAAACATATGGGATGGGAGAAAAAAATAAATTTTAATGCTTTTACATTTGTTTAAAAACGTTTTATGTTCCCTCATGAAACTCTCTGTTCACTCGAATAAAACTTCTAAGCAAATGTATAGAAATATATAGTTGTCATGAAAGAGCTAGATGGCGCAGGCTGACGGGTTGTTAATGTAACTGATGATATTCAGAGAGTTAAAGGGGTCATATGATGCGATTTCAATTTTTCCTTTCTCTTTGAAGTGTTACAAGCTCTTGGTGCATAAAGAAGATCTGTAAAGTTGCAAAGACTAAAGTCTCAAATCCAAAGAGATATTCTAAAAGTTAAGAGTCAACCACGTCTACCTAAAACGGCTCGTTCTAACAAGCCCCCACATGTTTACTTCACGATGTGGGAAGATTTGCATAACGCCGCCCAAATGTTCACGCAAAGAAAGAAGGCGTAACTTTTATTCTCACTGTAGTATTGTTGCTGCCACCATGTCGTGAAGACGCTGTGTTTCGGTGTGAAAGCGAAACTACTTAGTTTGGCCTTCCAAAAGAGGACAATATCCGCTTCGTCATGCCATCAACTTCGCGCTGTGGATCGCCGGATCGGCTTTCACCGTGGGCGAAGCGGAGTCCAACCCGGGGTCGTCACATGTGGTTGCTGCGAGCCCGCCAGCCACTCCTTCGTCGAATCCGCCGGCCGCCGCTCACTCTAGCCGCCGGCCTCCGCTCACTCAAGGCTGCCGTATGTGACGCTGTGTTTCGTGGTGAAAGCGAAACTACTTTGTTTCACAAATGCAGACATGGTTGCAATGATGCAACGTGTAAAAAGACAGTATAAGTCATTATAATCAGTAATTGTGTCCCCACTGGATGCAACAAATGCCTCGTTTATAATGGGTTTTAATGTTTTTGAATCGTCGCTCCGGGACACGGCCTGACAGTATGGAAGGGGCGTAACATTTCCGTCACACGCTTGAGGTATTCGGCCAATCACAATGCACTGGATAGCTGGCCAATCAGAGCACACCTCGCTTTTCAGACCGATGAGCTTTGTAAAACTCGACGCATTTCAGAAAGGCGGGGCATAGAGGAGAAACAACAATGTACAGTATGTGGAAAATAATGTGTTTTTTGAACCTTAAACCGCATAAACACATTTCATTACACCAAATACACAAAATAATGTTCTTTTTAGCAACATCATATGACCCCTTTAAACGACTTGGCACAAGCTGATTGGTTCATGCTGCATATGCAGCCAATGAGCTTACTGCCTTGCATTTATATGGCTAGCTAGCATTCACTAGAGATTCCAGCAGCGTGCTTTCAGAGATTATCTGAAACTAAACAGCTAAAATAAGTGAATGGTCTTCACTCTGATTCAGTGGATTATTGCGTTCGTCAAATTTACATTTTTAAACTAGAAAACATACAAGTTGTAAAACTACGTGCAGGTTATTCGCGTGAGGAGTAATTACTAAGCATGTCTTGTTCATATAACAGCAGTAGCATTAGTTTTCATAGTTCATGTATGTGAGAATACAAAGTCAAGTATCGCGGATTTAGAATAGTAAAGTGAATTGGGGATTACCTTATTTGCCCGAAGTCTCCAATACTTTTCATATCTTCTGTGGGCATTCATTTCTACATTAACCGTGAATGGATCGCTTTCAGATGCACATCTCACTAGTGGGGTCGGTTTGCAGTTGACGTTTCACAGTTGTTCACAGTTTAAGTCAAGGAGAACCCGTATAATTGTCTTTCATAAACGTCATACTGTCAACAGCCTTACCTATTTAACCAGAATTTGCACTCAGAAGAGGGAGTGCTCATTCTTAATGGGGCCACATCTCTATTTCACTCGTTATCTTGGATCAGTGATAGTGAAGAGTTTATAATGAAAGTCATGTGTAGTGATAGTTTAAAGATGATCACAAATTCGTTTAAAATATAAAAATACTACTACTAATAAATAATTCCCAATCAGTAGCCCATGTACAATGTAGCTAATAGTAGGACACTCTTAAACTGGGATTTACTCTTTGTGTATTCAGTTGGGCTTACAGCAATTACAGTACTTTCATGGAGTGTAGCAGCAGTATCATTGAATTCAGATTGCGTTATTAGCAAATTGTTAATAGCAGTATGCATAGCAAATCAAGTCAAATTATCACTGTTGTTTATAGCTGTCAGGATCATGGACTGTCTGTGTCATGTTTTGCCCCTGTTTCTGTTCCCTTATTTGGTCATGTTCCTGTCCTCGTTTTGTTAATTAGTTTGATTAGTCATCCCATACACCTATGTTTCCCAAATCATCCCCTGTATTTAAGTCCTAGTCTGTGCAGTCTGTCTCTGTCGATTCTCCTTGTTATGTTCATGTGTTTCCTGTTGTTCCCAGTGTTGGATGTACTCTGTGTTTCTTGGATTAAAGACTGTTTCGTTTATTCCTCGTCTCCATCGTTCCTCGCCATCACAAATTGTGACAATAGCAGCAGAAAATATCTGGTTGCATGAAATTTCAGTGATAACACATAGGGTAAGTAAACTCTTTAAAATTGAAATAAGCTTTTATTACTTCATTTATTTAACAGGGCATACAGAGATTTTGTGAATTCTTCAAAGCGAAATGGCATTATTTGTTTGTGTTTCATTGTTTAATAAAGACTCTTAGTAATTCGAAGTACCTTCGTGCAGCAGTATGCATAGCTATTCAGATCACAATTTTTTGCAAATTTAATAGCAGCAGAATGGCATAGCAAATTCAGATGCAATGTTAGAAATAATATTAGCAGCAGTCTGCATAGCAACCAATTATTATTGCTAATAGATCAGGGGCAGCAGAAAGTACTTTAGTTGCATGAAATTTCAGTGATAATGCATGGATGGGGTACAGCAATTCTAGTACTTTCATGGAGCATAGCAGCAGTATCCATAGAATCAGATTGCATTATTAGCGAATTATTAATAACAGTATGCATAGCAAATCAAAACATGCATTTAGTTGCAGCAGCAGTAGGTAGACCGTAGTTTACATTCAC